TGTGCAAACCCATGTTTCTGACTTCTATATTCAAATTTGTGACGGGAAAACATTGCTTCCCGAATTGGATAAGCTCAAGTGTCACAACTCATATCGATTTTGTCGGGAAATACTGCTAAACACGGTACCAGAAGGGAACTCTCATTCTGATACGTATTGCGAACATAATTCGCCGCAACATCTTCGCATTTTAGGTGATATCGGGGAGAGACCTTAAGGTTCGCAAGCGTTCCTATATACGGAGCACAGCTTGAGAACAATCCCAACAATCAAGCCCGATTATCTCTGTCTTACAGATAGTAATTTTGGCGAACTTTGGTGTATCAGTTAGTCTTTTTATATCTGAATAATCTAGTTTGACTGGTGACCTATAAACACTTTTGAAGTACATGAGTAGGGTTTCCTATTTATCGCGGTTACACAGCTATGTTTCCATCGGGCAAAGCTAGTGCTCCCACACTCTCGTGTCTTGCCGAGGTCACGTTTGGCGAGCCTTTGGAGGTCTTGACATCTGTTGCGCATGCTTGTAATCACTCCACGCTTGTTGAGTGCCGTAAAGCTTGAAGCGATCCCAGTATTGTCGGCGAATTTTCAGCGCTCTCTCTATCCCGGGTTTCCACCACATTGGTCTATGTCTGGTTCGTCCTTCCCTCAGTGGTGCAAACCTTTCTGTGAGGCTAGTTAACCCTCTTTTAACTACGTTCCATCTATCTTGCACGGTACACTCCGGGGACGCCGGTTACCAGCTGATGGCGTTTGCAGCCAAAGAGACGCATAAGAGTAGTGCCTACGAGGACTAACCATTAGTTTAAAGCGGATAACTTCGTGGTCACTCTTACCCAACGGTTATTCCATATTTAGACTAGTTATGTTCGAGCAGTACCTTGTGACAACTAGGTCTAGTAGCGAGTCTCTGTTGTCCTCGGTATCTCGGTGATCTTTTCACATGCTGTGTCTAACCTCTTTCTTGTAGAAACTGCAAGAATGCAGCCCCTGGGTATCCCGCAGGTGCGTATCCCGTTGACCATGCTACCTCCGGAAAAGCTTAGTCGCCAGTAGTGACAAAACGCTGGTATTTCGCCAGAGTTTCTTTTATTATCATCTTCCTCTGGCATCGCATTGAGGGCTCTTTGTATTCACAATGCACCCGCTTACTTCCGTCCTAGTTGAATACAGCATTCTGTGACTTGGATATTCAGAGTAGCTAACTCCAGCTGCATTTACATTTGGTTAAGGACGGATATGACCATCTGCAGTACTTCGCCTCCCTGTCTTCCCTCAGTCCTGTTCTACCATAGCTTGTATACTACATCAGTCGTCTCGCGCTGCCCATTGCACCGGGCGGCGTGGGTAGTAATAAGTCGTCCAAGTCTCAGCTATATCGATCAAATTTTCACTGCGCGTCAAGTCCTCGAGCTACGCCATACACATCGTCGACCAACGGTTGTCGTGCTCTTTAAGCTAAAAGGAGCCTTCGAATCAGTTGACCGCCAATCCCTTATGGGTTCGTTCCTTCGCAAAGGAATGCCGCAGAAATATGTGAACATACTGGGTTCACTCTACTCACATACTTCTGGTAGCGTGAGGGTCAACGGCGAGCTGAGTAAGTCGTTGGTAACTAGTAGCGGTGTTCATCAAAGGTGCTCTATTTCGTCATTGCTATTCATCTTCGTCATAGGCCAAATACTGGAAGACACGTTAAGTAGTCTCTAAAAGGTAGACATTGAATGAACAGCTGGGTAAAAGCTGTGCAACCTACAGTACGCTGACGACATCGTTTACCTGTTCGAATGTATGGAGAATGCACAAAACGCACTTAACAGACTAGCACGTGCTGTTGCTCTGTTCGGCATGCACTTTGCACCTTCAGAGTGAAAGGTAATGCAAGACTGAAACTAGATGGTCAGGAATTGGTCGAAGTTGACTTCTGGTACTCGGGTAGCTGCATGACAAACGACGGTAGCGCTTCAAAGGAAGTAACCGCTCACATTTCCAAGGCTCAAAGATCGTATACAGGAATAAAATACCTGTGGCGACGACGTAACGTTTCACTGAAGTCAAAATTTTGAGTAAACTGCTCCACTGTACGATCATTTCTGCTTTGTAGTTGTGAGACCCTGAATTTGCGGGTAGAAGACATCCGTCGCCAAGTGGCTTTCGGTAATCGTTACTTACTTAGTCTGGCTCAGGTTGGATGAAGTGAGCGGGTTAGTAACCTGCTTGGGAATGCAGCAAACACGAGCTCATTATCGCATCTAATTCACCTCCGTTGGTTAGGACGTTTTGTGTATGTCCGACGGTCGCCTACCACATCGCGCCTTATTTGTATTGGCCGCTACAGACTGCAGAAAGCCACGTGGAGGCAAGCAGGTGATGTGGAGACGAGGCATGCAGAAATGCACAAAGCGCTCAGGTAGAGTGTCTTCCGGGTTCGGATCTAAATCACTCCGCAAATGGTTGGTTGGCGTACTGAAGGTCTTGGCAGCAAAACGTCAACAGTGGTGATCATGCTGACCAGAATGCTTGGAATAATATGCATGCACAGTTGGACTGTGTACTCTATGTATTGACCCGTCCCTAAAAATAGGTCCAATCCCTGTCTTCCTTACACATTATCACAAACCTTGTATGCAATATGAGTTTGGCATCGATCAGGGAAGTTCACTTCACTTTATTACGCTGTACAATGATGGTGATGTTGATGAGTGGTTACACACATATCTCCCATGCGATGGGTCCGGAGTTCAAGTCCTGGATGGGACGATAGATATGTACTACTGATGAGCTCTGACAGGAGCGAAACTGGAGTCTAGTGTCTACCAATGTGTGATTAACTGGAAGGGCTCAGGATTTTTCGTGAAAGTAAAGCCTGAAGGATGATCAGTTCCAATTAATCAATTATTCCACATGGTCAATCACAAGTAGGGTGTGAGGTGCCCGGTAGGAGTAGCATCTCTGACAAAGAGGGCTGTCGGCCCCTTTTAGCTATCCTTCCTTCTTTGATCTTCATCAGCTCTCACCTGTCGCCTCAAGAAGCTGTCTGGAGGCAGCAGCGGCCAAACCGCTGTAAACCACACGACAGGCGGGCTAAACCAAGTTGACTGCAACTGGTAGCTCAACTCATGACGAGTCGGCGTCTACCGAATGAGTGTGGTGCTAGCGCTTTGGGCGGACGAAGTTGCTTGCACGGCTCAACAGTCAAAGTAATGACTCCGCGCTCGCCAGGGTTGAATGGACCCCTGTTAAGCTAAAAATCTGTCAATGTCGTTTGAGCCCCCCCATAGGGCCACCGGAATCAATGCGCTACCCTCCTGCTGTCTTGCAATTATCACATGGATGTGTAAAGGCTACCGCGATCTAAAGCCGGGTGACGCTGGGGACGTTTCGTGTACGTGAGTCCCTAGAAATTTTTAGATTTTGGATTTTTAGAAATGGAATGTCCATGAAGCCCGCTTATCCTCTCCCGGGACCTAGCCGCCGTAAATTAAAAGTAAGTAGCTACCCACAAGTAACTCAGTTAAATGTGAACAACGTATTTGTTGGAAAAAATATTTCAGGGCTTTAGGTTGAACTCTCAGTTCCTCCATCGCAGTTGTTCGTAAGCACTAAGCGATGCAGCTGTCCTAGATATAATACTTCATTCTGTTAGCACTTTTCTGTGCCTATTGACGATTTAGGTTGACAAAATGCAGCAGTTAAAACAATCGGTCTAAACTTTGAGATTATGGGTAATTTATCGTTTATGCCCTTTCTACTGTGTTATATTCCGCGGTGTCATCACCGTGTCATGCACGCATGCGTCAAAGATAAGCAAGTTAGATTTTTCCTTTTTCCACAGCTGTTAAATGCGCGGTAAAAGTGTGGATAAAAATGCCCCGCGCAAACCATTGACTGCTTTTATGCTGTTTATGAAAGCCAGACGATCCAGTTCCGAATATGTAGCATCGCTTCCTTTCAAAGAGCGAAATCGTTTACTCGGTGCTGAATGGAGCGAACTACCGAAAGACGAGAAACAGGCCTACTGTTCAAAAGCCGCTGAAGAACGAGAAAAGTATAAGGTTCTCCTGGCCGAATACAAATCAACTGACGCGTATAAGGCTTGGTTGGCCTCCAGTGATAATCATGTTAAAAAGTCTAAAGGGAAGCGAGGCCTGGCGCGCGAATCAGAACCCAATCCGTATGAATCCAACTTCAAAGTGTCTATTTTCACCGGGGATTTCCTTCAATACAATCGTCTGAGAGAAGTAGTGCTTCGTCAACTGAAGAAACAAGTAAGAATCATTCTTCTTTTACTTTTTCGTTACATAACAGTTATGGAGTCATAAAAACTTCTGTTGCATATGCATATATATATATATATATACCCCGCCTTCGAAGCATCGAAACATAGCATTGATTACTAAATGCGCTGGCTCTGAAAGGATTGACCAAGCAAATTCACTTAGTGTTTTGTAATTGAGGGTATTATGACAACAATACACTTTCCGGGTACAAGTATATCAGTAAATCGACAAAAGATTACCCGATACGCATGTCTTATGAGCGTCAAGAACTGCTTAATCGGTCGTGTGCTTCCGTTGAAATTTTGTTGTCATTCGTCTAATATTTGTTGTAAAACATGTGCGTAGGTGTATCACAAATCTTTATAGATATGACACCAAAATAACCTTAGATTAAAAGAGAAATACAGAAGTAGGACAAAAGCGATCAGTTTTGGATGGGTGTAACAACTTTTTCACTTAGAATATATCATAACGAGCAACCTCAACTGCCCAGCTATTCACCGGTGCGTTGTCACGGCCTAAGGCAGTATGATTGGCATAATCTACGTATACGACCCTGTCTCCAGGATAGACCTCCACGTCAGCGTTCGTTACGTTAAGTACCGCTTTTTGCAGAACATCATCTTTGCCAAAGTTGAAGAGACACGAAGACAGGCAGCCCTGTCGTACCCCACTGATGGACGAATCAGAAGCACTTCTTGTCGGTCCACATGCAATCCGAGTCAACCGGATGGAGGAAACCTACTTGATCACGGATTGTTCCATTCAAGCACCATGTTCTCCAACAAGAAACGACGGCGCCTCACATGGAAACCCCCATGCTCTTCACGACGATGTAGTCAAATGGACCACATCACCCACCACTGGCGAGGATCCATTAAAGACTGACACCCTTACTGACCAACATCGGGGGACGCGGACCATTCTCTGCTACGAGCCAGCTTCTCCCTGCGCCTGGAGACGATACAATGTAAGCGGTGGTTGCAAACCGGCTCTCGAAGCGGAACTGTCTGACCGCCTTTCACTTCAACTCAATGAGCACTGGATTTTCATCAAGGAAGCTATCTAAATATCGATCAATACGACGAGTTCTGGAACGCGATCGAAACACAAACGATGGACCTCGTCAATTGGGGATGCGTTACTGGGCGTTCACAGAACGATTCTTCCTGGTGCCAAATACGACATCGCGCGCAAATCCACCAAACGCCAGCTTATCAAGAGTCTGAGGAATGACCGCGAGAAGTGGTGGGTAGGAAACTGTAAATAGTTGGAGAAGGCTACGGCTTTTGGTAATAGTTGCACTCTTTTCCGTTTAATTGGCAACACAGGCCCAAGGAAAGTAAGCGTGAGTTAATCAAGCAATCTGACGGCGCACTAATCGGTTATCAGCGACGTCGTCTTGATCGACGGACTGAATATTTCAAGCCTCAGTTCAACTATTCCCCATTGACATTAAGCTCCTAGATCAGCTGNTGCCAGTTTATATCAGTCCTCCGTCTGAAATGCAGGTTTCCGGGGAAATAAGTTACCTCTAGAGATATAAAGCTTCCGGCTCAGATGGACTGTCCCCACCGGCTTGAAAGGATGGAGGTCTAGTCGTGGTTTTTGAATTGACGAAACTCCTGAGCTCAATAAGGGAAAACAAAGATTCAAATTCAATGATGTGAATCGATCATCTTACCGATCTGCAATAAATTTGATAGAACCTCTTTTAAAAACCACAGGAATTAGTTTAGCCAACATTGCCCCTAAAATTCTCGCTGGCATCATGTTCCGTCGATTATCTGCCGCACGTGAACGGTGTACGCGTAAGAACCAGGCTGGTTTCACACGTGGTCGAGGTTGTATAAACTAAATCTTCTTTGATCTGAAAGCTTCTTTCCACTCGGTCGGAAACGCCTCTCCTTGAAAGGTGTGTCGGAGAATTTTATTTCACTTTGACGATATCTTTATATAGCTGAGTTCGAACTTACAGCACTTTTCACCCGAGTTCACTACAGAAAGTGGTGTTCGACAGGGTTGCTCTCTCTCATTTTCGAATTAACTTTGTCATAATCCTGGAAACAGCCCTATCCTCGTGCGAGGTTAGCGGTATCGATTTACCCCCAGGTGGCAGACTGTTTGATCTAGAGTACGCAGACGACATTGTGCTACTGAGTGAGGGTCCAGGTAAGTTGCAAGCTTTTCTGGATTGCTTGAGTGCCAGCGTAGCAATATTCGGTATGCATTTTGCATTTTGTAAAATGTTACTACAAGAATGGGTTGATCCAGCAACCAGCCTCATTCTAACTGCGGAAGTGATAGGACAAGTGGACAAAATTTTGTTATTTGGACAGCAAAATCTCACTTG